AGTTGTATTAAATGTTGCAGTGGAATAACATATCAAATATTATTTATCTGCAGGTGCCAATAATAGCATACTCTGCAGGGGAAAGAGGTCTCATAAGCCAGCTATTGTGCCCAAAATTTGGTGGCTTTCTAGCCTATGGATCTATTGAGGGAAATTCAATTCCTGGCATGCCTTCTTTATATAGTGTTATCCACACTTATAAACTTGGCTATCTAAATTCAGAAACTAAAGTTTTTGGACTTGTTTCAAAACCTGTCGGTCACAGCAAAGGCCCTCTATTGCATAATCCTATATTCAGACACAAGAACTTCAATGGTGTTTATGTCCCAATGTTTGTAGATAATCTCAAGGAGTTCTTTAACATCTATTCCAGTCACGACTTTCCTGGTTTTAGGTACGTCATCCTTCAATTTTGTCTTTGGTAGATTATGTCAGGTTACAGTCTTTCCACTCAAGTATATAGCCACAGTAAGCTGCATCTGTTCTTATGAGCAACACTTGTATTTTGACCTTTTAGGCATTCAAACACATTTTAGCCAGTAACAACTAAGCCCAGAACTGGCCTTGAAAGATTTAGTACCAAAAAAGTATGGATGTACGAAAATTTTATGTTACAACTAGTTCTTTAGTTGATATAGTAATACTGATTTTCGAAACTGGAAGATCATGGATAGTTGCAACATACTGAAATATAAATGCCTTCTTTCTTTGATAAATTGCTTTATTTCTCACCCTTACTTTCATCTCCTGCAATGATGTAGCCGGGTGTCACGGACCTAAGAAAGAGTCTTGAATCCTACATCAAACATAATAGGAGGGTCCCTAAGGTATAAAAGGGTTCACACCACCTCCGTCTTGTGAGGCGCTTTTTGTAGGACAAAACCGTGAGGCCATGAGGGGCCAGAGCGGACAATACTTCACAAGGGTGTGAATCGTTACAGGAAGGCTGATCTGGGACGCCGGAAGGGTGAATGCTCGGGTCCCGGAGCCGCACGAGTTCGGAGCTTAAGTCTCGACCCGTGACACCAGGTTTGTTTTCCACTATTCTCGGAAATGTAACTTTTCTTTTTCCTCATTCCAATGGATTGCAGTGTTGGGTTTCCGTACAAGGAAGTTGTAGTTGAGTTCTGTGATGAAGTTCATCCACTTGCAGAGGTTGACTATATAACATTCTTACAAACATGTTTGAATCTGTAATTTCCCATGTACTTTTTCAGGTCCCTTGTTTTTGTGCCCTATTCCATTTCTTTACGCACGGTTTACCAAAGCACCGATTTCTGGCTACACTAAGGTCTAAGACCAAGTTCTGAATCTAATTATTTAGAAGTTCAACTTATTGAGAGAAGCATACCAAAGCATATAAGACTGGTTTGATCAGTTCATAGCCAGAGAAAAAGGAAAAAAAATTGTATTTAAGTTTAGGCAGAATATTTATCTGATCCTGGTTGTAAAATTCATATTTTACTATCTGAGCTAGTTGGCATTGCATCATCAGACATGGCACATTTTGTGATGGGAAACCAAAAGTAGCAGAAGATTACACTCAAACAATTGTATGTTGACATGTTCCATATTGATATATTTACCTGTTTCATATAGAGGCGATTCTAGAATTTTTCCTATATCCAGAATTCTTACCAGAATTCTTAGTGCTTCAATTCCCTATTAATAGCATCTGCTTGCAGTTTCCTATATTTATATATTTGAGAATGCAATCGATTTTTTTTTCATGCACTGTCAGTCTATAGGTGCTGTTAATACTATTGTAAGGAGGCCTTGTGATGGAAAGCTGATAGGTTATAATACTGACTGCGAAGCTGCAATAACTGCGATCGAGGATGCTCTAAAAGGTACCTCCCATTGATGAGAAAAAAAATGCTCATCATGTCCTCATGGAAGTTTAAAGTATTGATCAATGACTAGTCCATTCTAGATGCTGATATCCCGACACTTTTGTACTTGTAAACCGTAAACTACTATAGAAAAGAGATGCACTGGTAATGAAGTAACTTTAGGCAGTCCAATATCGGGGAAACTCTTTGCGCTAGTTGGTGCTGGAGGTGCAGGAAGAGCATTGGCATTTGGTGCTAAAACCAGAGGAGCTCAAATAGTCATTTTTGACATTGATTTTGGTATGTGATCTACAATTCTTAAAAGGCAAATCCATGGTTTTTCCCTTTATGCTGATATGATTGTCAACTATAGCTTCTGCCTACTCTTTTTTAGTACATTGTTGTAGCATTAGGAATAAACATTATGAGTAGAGAATCAAAACCCTTTCTTACTATTATCATTGCTTCTGGAAAAAGGGAGAGCAAAGTCCCTTGCTTGTGCTGTCTCGGGTGAAGCTCGACCTTTTGAAGAAGTAGTTTACTTCCAGCCTGAGAAAGGATCGATCCTTGCAAATGCAACACCCCTAGGAATGCATCCGAATACTGATCAGCGCATTCCTGTTGCTGAGGTCTCCACCTTCCACCACTAAGTGCCATTTCTTTTCTGAAGAATAAAGTTCAATTTTGTTTCATTACTGAAGTTATTTGCTTTCATATTCCAGGCAACCTTGGGAGATTATGAGCTGGTCTTTGATGCTGTTTATACACCTAAGAAAACAAGACTATTAAAAGATGCGGAAGCAGCAGGAGCAATCATTGTCAGTGGAGTTGAAATGTTCCTCAGACAAGCTATTGGTCAGTTCAATCTCTTCACTGGTCGAGAAGGTGTCTGTTGAATCCCTTCCTTCCCTCTTATCTGTTTCATGACCTTAAACTACATCATAACTACTCTGGACACTTATTTTCTAATCAAATCAATTAGAAACTTTAGACCTTTTAAACCATCGTTAGATCTTTACTGCAAATGTAAGTTGATAGTTCAACCATTTTGATCTTTTGCTGTTTGATTTTAGTCACGAGACTATTGAAAAAGAATAATAAAGCTTCCAGTGAGTAGTGAATCCATCTTTATTTCATTAGTTGGACGAATGGATCAAGTTTATGATCTGAAAAAGCTATTTTGATTGAGTTGATAAGATTTGAATACTTTGTTTATAAGACTTAGGTTTGAGTCCCGTTGCTAGCATTTCCCTTAATAGATGATTTGTAAATTAATATAAGTTGATGCTGAAGCTTTTGATCTTCTATGGTCCTAAAATGAGAATGCCTCTTCTTATCCTAAATTTTTATAAAAAATATATATATACATTGAGTTAAAATTGCTGGAGATATCCTATTTTGAACCTCTTCCAAAAATTCTGATTTCTAATTTTACCATGTACCATCCTCATGATCAAGTTCAAGTTTTGTGGTGATAATCTCAACTATTCTTCCTCAAAATAACTGCCTCCTACAACTCAAGAATTTTAGTTGCAACATATATTTTAAAAATTCTTAATATGGTTTAAATGAGGTCAATTTTTTTATTCTGTTTTGCAGCACCTAAAAAGTTAATGCGAAAGATCATTATGGCAGAGTTCTGATGTATTACATCACACAGAATATTGTAACATTAAGGAGTAGATAAATCAAGTACCATGGAAATTCATGTAGTCAAGCTGAAGCCCTTATTCTTGGACAAGGTTTTTTTTTTATTTTTTTATTTTTTTATTTCAAGTTTTGGTCATTAACTTGCATGGAAAATGAAAATATTTCTCTTCTTTGTTTTCTTTGAAGGGTTCAAAAAAATTTTTTTTAAAAGAAATCATTGTTTAAAGATTAAGAAAACGATTGAAGGTATAGAAATTTGAATCTTAAATTTACTAAAAAAATGATTGCATAAATCTAATTTAAAAGAGTTATGAGTATTAAAATTTGAACCCAAACTTATTAATATCAACCAACTGAACTCAATTATAAGTTTACAAATATTTACGTACTGAAAGATTTTTTTTTATTTTGGCCATAATAATATGAACAATTATTATTTATTAATCGGTATTGTTGGAAGAGAATTTAAATTAATATTTTACTTACAAAATTTTAACTTAGTTGACCACCAATTTTAACTAATTACACAATGCATGATGATTTTCCAAGTACTTGGATTTTGGTTACTTCGAAAATTTTAGATGATGTGCCAAAACTTAACTTCTCTTAGTATTATGTAGTTTTTGAAAAAAGATAAAACATGGTAAATTTATTATCTAATATTGTGTCTATGTAGGAATAAAAAGTAATTGTCTTAAGTTGTCTATAATATTTGACTTATTTGTTAGTTATGTCATTATGGCTAGTTAAATTCAATATCATATAATTTAAAGTGTTTTTTATAATATGATCTCAAAATATTTTCAAGATTTACTATTAGATATATTATCGAGCTTTATTTAATGTTAATTTCTTCTCTCAAGAGATTTTCTCTAATACAGTAAGTTGTATTTAGTGTTTTACTTTTAAAACATTTTTCATAAATATCAAATTCTAACTGACAAAAAAAAGAAATCGAATGGGTACATTCAGAGTTTTACTCTTAAAGTTTTTTTTTATAGGGTTCAAATTCTAATTAACAAAGAAAAAAAAACCTTTTCTCCTTACTAATTATATTAATGCTTGTGGATTAAAGTGGTAGATTATGCTAACAATAAAAAATAAAAGTTATTTTAATTTTTAATTTGCTATTGAATTTAATTAAAATTTTGATACAAACAATGATATAAAAGAAATAAAAGAGAATCAAAGATAGAGTTAAATTTTGAATCTTATCTCTCAATTAAGTTATTACTTAATTTATTCTCAATTAAGTTATTACTTAACTTATTTGATCTACTAGCTTTACCTTGATGATTTGTAAAAATTTTCTAATATAATCATCAAATAATGTTTATTTTAAGTTAATCAACAATGATTTTACTTTTTCTCATTTCATTGCAAATAGAAGAAATTAACTTAATTTAACTTAAATTCTTATAGTTACTTATCAGTGTTTAAAACGAAAATAAGGCACTTCTTATAAAATTTGAAGCCAAGACTCCTTTATGAAAAGAACTAAAAAATTCAACTGTAAAACTGATATCTATTGTAGATAAAAACCATTGTACTTGAACAACGATCCTCTGTTTCTTATACTTGGAAACTCTTGGCTTATAGTGTAATCAGAGGACCAAGATCCTTGCTATAGGTTGTTCTGTTTATGTCAATGCTGATAGAAAATGTCCTAAATAAAAATCAGAAAAAACTGCTCCATCCCAATGAGTTGTCAATCATTGGGCTTTCTGCAAGTGTTTTGACTTGTATATGTTTTCAATTAACGAAATGAAACTAGTAAGCCTTTGCTAAAGTTTGAAAAGGACCAGCTTCTTCACTTGACATGAGGCAAATACTTTGTAAACCTTCAATGGCGATTGGATTCTTTCCCATTCTTCCATTCAATCAGTAGGATTAATTGGCATTAGCCCTCATCGTATGAGAAAACTAGGAGGGGTATTCGTTCTGCCCAATTTTCCTGTACCATCTGCCTCCTTGACATTGAATGCTCTATTTACAATTCACATTGATGATAAAAAATGTCAATCACAGATCTGGGTGGAAAAATCAATTGATAGTTAATATATAAGCACAAAAATTGCCCAAGGCCAAAGAAAACGACTAACCTTGTTCACCATGAGCCATCAAATCATGCTTCTGAACAGTGCCACCAAGGTAGCATGGAACTCAGCACAAGGGTCGAGTAGAATGGAACAGGTTATATCAGGATGGATAAATTGCCCATTCACAAAATGTTGTAGGCACAGCACACCTTGGGGCACCCAATGGACTCAAGAATTTGCCATTGGTTCAATGCAGCAGAAAATCACCTGTAAACAAACACAAACCATCAGCCAGCCCAAACAAAAACCATCAATTTGAGCCTCCAGAATAAATATGAATTGAGCTTTCTTTCAAGTTTCAACGTGAAATAGTTTGTACCTTCCCAAAAAGGGAGAGTCGCAAATCCTTGAAATTTCAAAATAAGTATGTGATCCTGAACTTCATAATATTTCTCCTTATCCTCTGACTTCAGAACTGTTGTCATCCATAACTTCTCAACACCCAGATCATTAAAAATAGAAAAGTAGTACATATGTTATTTCTTCCAAGGTTGTTCAAATAAATGGCAAGCTATAATTAGTCACCATAGAAACATAAAAGACTAAAAGAAAGAAGCTGCAACCATTTACAGGTTGATCAAATGCAGCATGATTAAACTTGTCTTTAGAGACAGAATAGCTTGGCAGCACTGCCCTTTAGTAATATGATAATTGACAATCAAAAGAAACGAAAAAAAAGAGTACCATTATTTCATTTTAAAGAACCCTTGTATTATAATAAAGAAATCTTATAACCATTTGATTTCAAACGATGAAGTATCAATAATGATGTCTCAAAATACATACATTGTTTACTTCACTCTGCCATGGCACATAAATGCTGGCCGTGAAGGAAATAGGAATTAGAACCCTTGCACTTCTGCACTTGAGATGAAGAAAACACCTTCAAATGAAGAACTTACCTTATTCAAGGAAAGAAAAATCATTGGCCTTAGATGAGTACTACATAAGCTATACTGTCTCAAGATGCATGGAAAGACTTTTTGGCTTACTCTGTTTCTTGGCAGTTGAAGGATTGAGCTGATCTTCTTCAGAATTCTCGACTATGTTGACTGGATTATGAAATCATAATGAACAAATATTAGTGAAGGTGAAAAGAAAATTACTGGAAAATTACTTTTGTTAACTCTTTGAAGAATCAGTATCATAATGAATGATAACAAAGCCATTCTGATTTCAAATGAAGAAACAAGAGTCATATGTCTCAAATACACATTTTCAACAATTTCCTACTTGCCACGCTTGCCATTTGAAGATCATCACCATAATCCCTCTTCTTATTTTATTTTATTATAAATTTAAACATTCTCTAACCATAAAAGAATATTATTACTGAAAGAAAAGTATTTTAAAAAGAAAATCCCAATGATCTATTTCAGTTGCTCTAGAATATCCTAAAAAGAGTAAATTAAATATAAATCCTGATGAAAATAAAAAGGAAAAACTATTTAAAAATTACATAATATTATAATGATAAGAGAAATATGAACTAGGAAGGAGGCATCAAACTCCTACTTAATTGATGAGGAAAAGTAAAGCATTTGAGTTGAAAGAAACAAAAGCTATATTATTATGAATGGTATCTGAAGATTTATAGAATGAAATTTGACTTACTTGTGTGTTAGAAATTGAAGGATTGCGTTGATCTTCTATAGAATACTGCATTTCCTCCATGGGATTCTACATATATATAATAATCACCAACAACAATTAATTTTAATTGGTCATGAAGGCGAAAAGATGAATTAATTTTGATTTACAATGGAGTCGTCATCAACGCTCCCAACCACAAATTTTCTTTTTCAATGATAATCAAAGAAATTTGAAAAAAAATACCCTTTCCGTGAACAGTTTTTGTATGGTGCTATTAAGGCTTCCTTCCCAAATCCAATACCCTTCATCTGCCCACTCATTTGGTCGTACTTTGTGCAACATCGGAGCGTTTAACCCTCCCTTAGAGAACATCTTCATCTTTGGGCATTCATGCACAAGTACGGTTGCTAAGGATGGGAATCCAAAGGTATGATTCCCTGATGAGCAGAAGCTTTCTAGATTTGATAGCCCAGTAAGTTCCAAAAGGTTGAGTTTGGGGAAAATGATTTCATCCTTCACTTCATCACGATCCCCATCGCTACCTTCTATGATTTCTTCTATCTCTCTACAATAACTTATCCTCATTTCTCTGAGCTGCACTAGGCTTTTGGCTGTTGAATGTGTAACTAATTTTATGATCCCATCACAAAATTGAACTTCAAGAGTCATCAGATACTGGAAACATACTGAAGACGGAACGAAATTACTTTTTAATTTGGGACAGCGTTTCACATGTAAAATCCTTAGATTTTGGAATCCTTCCTCACCACCAACTCCTTCACTTTGGAATACCAACTCTTCAAAGTAACAATGTGCTATTTGAAGGCTTCGAGATTGGGTAAGGATAGTAATTGGAACAGGTAAGATGGGAATATAGCTAATTGTTGAGGAAACCGTACAAGTCGGAGAACTTTAAGTTTGCAAAAGTAGTCCGATGCAGGTCGTAGGCCATGCAATCTCTCTTTCATCCCATCATCCCATCCGAAGTGAAGTTGTTGTAGATTTGGGAATGCCAACTGCACAATTCATGCAAGTGTTAATGGGACGGAGGATGAGTTGTTGAAAGGGATCAAAATGAACGATTGTAATATGGTGGAATAAAAAGAGAAATTTAAAAAAGTATATCTTTAATATAAGTAGTGATCTTTTTTTTTTTTTACTGAATCATGCATATTTATATAATACTAATTGATTTGAATATGTCATTATTATTAATATATTTTTTTTGTTAAAAAAAAATCATCGTTTTTTAATTTTTGATACACATCAAATTTTACAAAAATTTAAAATTCAAAGAATTTTTTAATACATATAACTTCATTGAAAAATTAGTAAAGTATACATTTAAAAAAAAAACAAAATCTGATTATTGATTCTAAAAATTAATAAATTAAACCTGAAACGACTTGAACCCTAATATCTCGGGAATTAAAACCTACAATTCCTGAACTGAAATAATAAGAAACAGAAATGGTTTCCACTCAAAATGGCCCGAATCCAAAATTGAAATGACTCAACCCAAAATTCATCTTTTTTTAAAGTCCCATTATGATTTGAACTGGATTAGCCCAACCCAAACTTAGTCCAACTAGTCCAATTGACAGGTCTAGACTAACTATCATTTGTATTGCATAGCTGGCATCTTACATAGATGATAACATTCAAAATGCAAAAAAATAGATATAAGCTATCGATCTTTGAAAAAAAGTTAATTTGATGTTATGTCATTTTAATTGAAAAAAGATTAATTATGCAAATATACCCTCAGTTTTTGTACAAAATAGATATAAGCTATTGATCTTCCATTATGTTTTAAAATTAAATTTTTTATTTTTTATTTTCGAACAAAAAGAAGAAAAAAATTTAAATTCAATAAATTACAAAATTAGAAAAAAAAGCAAATTGAGAAAAATATAAAAAAATTTTATAAATTAAAAAAATCTAAGTTTTATGTTAAAATTTTATTTTTGAAAAAAAATCAATAAATATTTGTTCTTACTTTTTTAAATTTAAAGAATTAAAAATTTGAAAATAAAACAATGAAAAATATTTGTCTTCATAAAAATTGAGAAATATTTTTTTTCAAAAATAAAATCTTCACATAAAATATAGAAAAAAATCTATATTTTATGTGAAGATTTTATTTTTTAAAAATCAAAATATATTTTCTTCCTTAAAATTTTGATTTTGAAATAAAAAATATAAAAAAATTTGAAAAAAATAAGATATTTTATTTTTGAATATTTTTATATTTTTATATTTTTCAAAAATAAAATTTTAACTCAAATTTAGATTTTTTTAACTTATGAAAAAATTTAATATTTTTCATGATTTTCTTTTCTTCTTTTTTTCTCTTCCAAATTTTACATGTTTTTACTTTTTTATTTTTTTTCAAAAATTAAAAATTTTAAAAATAATTTTATAATATCATAAAAGGTCGATGGCTTATATCCATCTTATATAAAATGTTGAAGGTATATTTACAAAACTAAACTTTTTTCAATCAAAATGACATATTATCAATCCATATAGACTTCATTGGACACGTCATCATCCATGTATAATACTAATAGTATAATACAAGTGACCATTAATCTCATTTAACATAATTAGATTTAATTATATAATTTTAAAAATTTATGGGTTTATTTTTTGCAAAATAAAATATTATAAATATATTTACATGCAATAAAAGAGCAAAGGTATATATCTATTTTGTAAAAAAAATTGAGCGAATATTTGGATATTAAGTATTTCCAAAAATGACCTAGCTTGGTTTGTCTCCCTCTCAAGCATTGAGCGAATATGCATGACAATTGCAATTTTGTTGTAGTAAGGTATATTTGAATGAATAGTGAGTTTAAAAATAACGATAAATATAATATTAATTATTATAATGATGTAATTAAAATTAAAAAAATATATGTTTGAATATAAAAGTAATAATAGCATGAAATGAATTATAATAAAAAAATAAAATAATTATTAAAAATATTAAATTAAAAATTATATATAATAAAAGTTTTAAAATATTTAACATTTATAAAAATTAATAAATTAATAAATTATTTTAATATCAAATAATGATTTTATTAATAGATAACTAATAATTAATTAAAATAATAATATATCAAATAATGTTTTATTGTATAAAATTAATAAAATTATTTCAAACTTTTAAATAAAAATCAAAATAAAAAATAAAAAAAATTATAAAGATATTTTTATGTACGTAATATAATTTTAAGAGAAAAAAAAAGTACCGTTTGCGATTGGCTGTGGATATTGGTTTGAATTTGATAAAGGACAAGACAATGGTGGTCGGTATAAACCGATCAACTGTTAGTTTAATAATATTAAATTCGATTTTAAATTTAACGTCTCGAATTATAGCTTCAAACATAAAAAAAATTGGACCAATCAGCTCAACCCAAACTGTAATTTTCTCGACCGTGAATTACCATTTCCCAAATGCATTTTGTCCTCTAAAATTGGACCAATCTCCTCACTCGTCTTCAATCTCCTTTCTGGCTATCTCCATTTTCTAAGCTTTACATTTTAAATTCGCAACAGCTTTTCAAATAGCTTTTGAACTTAAAAAGAGAAAATTCATAAATAAAAATAAAATTGAAGTAGTTTTGTTTGGTATGACTCTGTAGCAGTCTAGCAGGTTCAGTAGAAGGGATGAGGACTGTAGCATCACCTTCAACGCTCTCCCTAATTTCAAGCGTTAATGTCTATAAAATCCCTCTATATTCTCCTATATTTCGATTTTGCTATTCTTCTTTCTTTCTCACTCCTGTTAGACCGCTCTCCACAATGGCCTCTGCAATTCAGTCTTCTTCTCAGGTATTTACACACAACTTTCTGCTTGTTAATATATATATATATATATATATATATGTGTGTGTGTGTGTGTGTGTGTGTGTGTATTTGTTGTTGATAATAGGTCATGACATTCATCACTTAGACATTTTTCTAGTGTGATGCCAATGGATATCCAATAGTAGCAGTCAGTAGCCTGGCGATTCATACAAAGGTTCTCACTTTGATTTTGAATTTTTCTTTAGTGAGTGCTTTGAATTGGAATCCATTCATCCATTGCCCTGTCTCAGAGGAATTAGGAGAAGGTGAATTGAAACATCAAACGGATATCGTATGGATGATCAGATTTTTCTTATTTATGGAGATGGAGACCCATAAATTCCAATCATGTTAAATATTAGGATTTTAAATTGATATTTTCATGTTGCCAAATTTTGACAAAGCCATTGATGACAGCCAGGAAAGCTCTAAGTCATGCCCGTGTTCTTGTGATTAAGATTAGTTGCTTATGTTCTAGTTGCCAACCTGCCTTCGTTCTACCATTTAGAAGTTTCTCCCCTGTTAATCCTATTGTCCTTTTTCACCTGATGGACAAGTTTTGTCCTTTTTACGTTATAATTATTAAAAAATTGCTAAATTTCACAGGACCTGTTGGTTAATCCCAAATGTTCATTGCTTGTCGCAAGAGATCCTGAGGACAGGACTGATTTAGTGGTCACCCTGCATGGTGATGCTGTTACTGTAAGTTGTTTGTCATTTCCATTCTCCTGTTATTCATCTTTTAGGGGATGCTGCTTTTAAACTCATTTGTGAGCCCTACATCTTACTATTTAATATTCTAATTCTTTGGTGTTCTGAAGTATTTGAAATGAAGTATTGATCAATTATATAGGTATCTGAAAAAGATCAAATGGCCGTTCAAACTGCTTATTTGGCTAAACACTCTAATGCATTTTGGTCTGTGTCTCTTCTTCCCCTGCATGTTATGTCCCTTTAGATAAATGTTGTCACTAATCTGTTTAGATAGAGAACTCAGCGTGTACTTCCATTGTGAAGGTTGACTTCGGTGACTTCCAATTTCTGCGTGTTGAACCAAAGGTTGTGAGATATGTATCAGGTAGTGCAACAGCTTTGCTAGGGTCGGGAGGTTTGTGCTCTGATTACTTTTCTGTACCATAACACAAAAGTCATCGTGCAATACTCAACATCAATCCCGGTAATTAGAAATATTACCTTTTAACACTATATTTTATAGGAAATGGAAAATTTTATCCATATTGTATTGAAGAGACAAGTCAGCTAGCCCTTACTGGTTAAGGTGGAAAATTATAGAACATGCCTCAATAGCTAATTCTAGGCCCAGAACTAAAATCAGAGTAAGAGAAATTAATAATTTATGCTGAATATTTTCATTAGTTACTGTTTAACAAAGTTGGCTAATATTGTTGAATTTATCAGTCTCTCAGTTCAAGCTGCCATGTGTACTGAACTCTGCCTGAATTTTTCTTCAACCCAAAGTGCATTAGTTTTCTAACAATCTTAAAAATCCTGAAAACTGAATCTTTATTCTAGAAGATCCAATGTTATAACTTAGCTTTTGTCTAAGTATATATTTTAAGACAATATTGCCCCATTGTTCATTTGGAGACCACCCCCACATCACAAAACTGCCAATCTTTTCAATGATAAAATTAGAAAGCTTCTCGCCAACTGTTGTCTTCTCAAAACATGACTTGCAGATCCATTTCTTCTCAAGCTTCTATCACTATTCTTCAATGTGATGATTTCCTCTTTCTGAATTTTCACATTGAAGACCATTTATTGATGGGGAGTTTAACATATCTTGATATTGATTTTTTTCCCCCTTTTTCTAGCTAATTTGGGTCTTTCTCCTGGTGAACTATGCTTACATGTTGGGTTTGGATAATCTTGGATTCAATGTCAAGGTTCTGATAACTTTTAACCTTTTATATTGAATCTTATGTTCTTGGCTAATGGAAAGTAATTTTGCCAATACTTGGAAATTAACTAATATAAAAAATTCCCTTCACCGTTGCCTTGTGAATCAATTCTTACTGTATTCAAATTCTTGCTATATGAAAATTTTCGGTTTCTCCCTGCAGCTGGTTATCAAGGAAATACTTTCAAGCTTCGGATTCCTTTTCCTAGACATGCAGAAGATAGAAAGTGAGATATCTTCTATGAAAGATTTTCTAGTCTCTGAGGAAACTTTCCCTGATATTTTTACTTGTCCTTTGTTGTTAATTATTCATTTTACTTTTTATGCAAGGCATCTTCTATGAGATTCTCATCTTAATCTC